GACAAGGAGCCATTGATGAACTTTAGGGATCTCTGAGAAAGTTAGGGTTCGAAGGAGAATAGGAAAATTGTTGAGATCAAAGTGAAGGGGAGGGAGACAAAAAGTCTTATTTGTAGTCTAAAACCCCCAAACTTCGCCCAAGATTTCTCGCGCTAAAGTTCGCCAAATATCTCGCGACCAAACTTTACCGAAGATCTCGCCCGCGAACTTCGCTGAAGATTTCGCCCCGAACTTCGCCTAGAATCTCTCCTCCAACGAACTTCGCACGCAGATCGAAAAACCTGAATTTTATATCTTTAGGCCGAGTCTCGCCTGACCGACTTGTTGAGCCTCGCCAAGACGACTGTTTCTTCAGTAAGTAAACCTCGCCCAATTCAATAAGGCACTAATGGTGTGTTTGTGAGTTTACTTAGGGAAGGGAAGGAAGGGGAAGGAATGGGAAAAATTACATCTACAAAAGTGACGAACCAATGTCGATCATCAAGTGAAGCCATCTTGGTGGGACCCCAAACATCCGTTTACACGTAGTTCAAGATACCCGTCGTCCTGTGTACGACTGTTCCGAACTTCACATTTGTCTTCTTGTCAAGAAAGCAGTGCTCACAGAATTCTATGTTTCCACTTTTGACTCCCTTCGATAGCCTCTGTTTGCACAAAACCTGCAGTGACTTTTCACTTGTGTGCCCCAACCTATAGTGTCAAAGTCTGCTCACGTTCATCTCTGAAATAGCCGAAGCTACATGGCCAATCTCGGTGCTTCCCTTCAGATAATACAAATTCCTAATGCGGACTCCCATCATCACCACTAAAGATCCCTTAGTAACATTCGCTACAGCGTTCTCAAATGTCACATTGAATCCTTTCGCCTCCAAAGTTCCAACGAAAATAAGATTCTTCTTCAACTGAGAAATGAATCTCACTTCATTCAATTCACGAACAACTCCATCATGCATTCGGATCCTGACGGTACCTATCCCACAAATACCACATGATTGATCATTTTCCATGACTACCACCCCCCTATCGAGTCTCTCGAACGATGCAAACCAATCTCACAGGAGAGTCATATGATAAGTAGCACCAGAATCTAGCATCCAATCAGATGCATCACATGGTTCACCTCTGAAGTAATCAATAGAGAAAAGCATGAATTATCAGAATCATCACCTCTAGCGACGTTCACCTCATTAGCCTTCGAGCCCTTTTTTTTGCTATTCTATTTCTCTTTAAGCTTCGGGCAATCTCTCTTCCAATATCATTGTTCTTTGCAGAACGCACACTGGTTCTTCGCTAATTGGTGGTGGCCTCTTGACTTTGACCTGTCTCTATTGTCACCTCTTGGATATGGACTTCTTCCTTTAGTCGACAAGGCCTTTCCTGAAGTGCTAGCTCGGAAAGTCTGTTTGTCCTTCCTCCTTAAATCGTAGTTCGTCAATGCATTAGTCACTTCACTGTAGGTGATGGAAGATCTACCATTCAACAAAGTGAGCACGAAGTTATCATACTCCTCATCGGGTAAGGAACCCAACAAAATAATTATCTTATACTCGTCCGTTATCTTCTCATCCACGTTTGCCAAGCCCGACAATAACTTTGTATAGTTGTTCATATGAGTCGCAAGTGAGGTGCCCCTGGACATCTGGAATCTGAATAATCTTTGTAGCAAGTGCAACCGATTCTCAATACTCTTCGTAAGGTACTTGTTGTTAAGACTCTCCCACATCTTCATCGCAGACGTCACACCAATCATATCGTATTTCAGATCTTGTTCCAAACAAGACCTGATCAACCACAAGCATTCCTATTCATCTTGTCCCATAGCGCCTCATCGTATTTCTTGGCCTCTCATGAACCATGATGGTCTCTTCCAAATTTTGAGCATTGAGAGCGTCATGTACGTCGCTCATCCACAAACCAAAATTAATCTTGTCGTCATACTTCACTATACTAATCTTAGTATTTTGAAGTCCAACTTGAACTGTACTCATTTTTGTCTCGCTGCTTTCACAGACTTCTTCTCACATGCTTGCAAACTCCAAATTGTAAAAAAAGATTCAAACTTTGATAGAATCGAGAAATTGCCTAACTGAACCCTAGATAGGATTCCAACACGATCTTCTAACCACACAAGGAAAGAGAGATACCAATGGCAACTCCGCAATGTTATCTCCACCGAAGCCTAGAACTCCAAGAACCAAGCTTCAAACAATGAATATTCCTCTACCCAATGCAAAACCCTAAAACTGAAGCCCTAGAGCTCTAATACCAATTGTTGCGCACCGTGCGGAAGCGTGCTCGACAACCAAACGAGTCCGCAAGCGATGAGAGAAACCAAAACAAATACGAATATAATCCACCAAAATACGACACAGATCAAACCAAACATAGAGATTTACGTGGTTCGACAATTGCCTACGTCCACGAGGAGAGGATGGAGAGATTTCACTATATGGAGGAGAAATACAACGGATTACAACTCACAAAATCACTCAAATATAACCCTAACCAAAGCTCTCAACTCCTTCACAATATCTCCCTCTCAAAGTGCTCAAAACAATGCTAATTCTCTGGTTAAGAAACCCTAGAAACGTGTGTTTCTATTTATATCTAAACCCAATCCAAATCAGACCAGGAAATCAAATCCAGCCTGTATCCGCTTTTCGGTCGACCGCAGGGGTTGCAACGGTCGATCGGCTAGAGACAGATTCCATCTTCCTGTAATGTGCACATTTTCGGTCGACCGGTAGAACTCGTTCGGTCGACCGAGTAGAGATAAGGTTTCAGACCCTGTAATCCAACAGGCTGTCGGTCGACCGGGCCTATGTCGTCGGCCGACCGACCCGATAGAAAGCTGTAGTCTCTTCCCAGCTTCAAATTTCCTGTTTTCGCCGTGTTTTCTACAATTTTCTCATTCCATTCATCAATTTTCCAAATATTTCGACAATAAAGAATAAATAGGCACTATGGAATAACTTCATTCATTATCAGCAATACACTCTCTTCTCCTCCCTCTCTTCTTTCTCTCCATAATCCCTATATCCTTAGCCTACCATCTTATTACTCTTCAACCAAGGTTCCAATCACTTCGCTTTCTTCTATCTAATTCTATACATGGGCATGTTATTAATCAAGGGTTTAATGATGGTTATTGCAAGTATTGTGCCTAATTATCTCATGGGAATAATCACTAGCGCCGCAAGGCCATATGTTACTCTATGGAGGAATTTACAGGCTAAGGAATGAATTGCTAGAGCCTATAAGAAAACATCCAATGTACCATATTGCTTTCAATAAGTATGCAAATCAAGATTATTATAAGAATTGAGTTAAATGGGCGAACTTTTGAAAAGAGAAGGTGGAAATGTGCATATTGTAACTGGGAAGAGGTTATTAGGGATATTTTTGGAGATGGAGGTTGGTTATTCTAAGTGGGTTGACTTTGGGATTTTGATGGGGATGGCGATTCTGTATAGGATGTTGTTTTTAGTTACTGTGAAGGCAAGTCAGAAGATTAAGCCTATAATAAGAGGTGTCAAATTTGAGTGTGTAAAATAAATAAAGGGTACTAGAGAAAAGTTTAAGTTCCATCGATTCTGCATTGTTGGGGATATTCCGCTAGCACTTCTATTTAGTTAAAAGATGAAGGTGTTTGGATGTGAGCGAAATAATTTGTCTCAAAAGGTGAGAAACCTGATAAATTTGGTATATTGTTGTATTAAGTGGACATTGCCGAGAAAGTCGTTTTGAAGAGAAATAAATGCCAAGATGGTATCAAACACTATTTGACATCGAAGTGCTCAGAGTGGACTCAGGGAAAACTGCGTAGGCTGAGTTGGTGATATTGCCGATGCTCATCGATCGTCCTTGTCAATTCTCGTCGATGTTGAGCACACATTTACAGGACACTTGCAAATTTCAAGGTCAATTTTACACCGGAAAACAAGATAAAAATCTGGGGTTTGTCATGTGTGCATGTTTTTTGGCTTTGAATTATTTTGGATTAGTCAAAACCCATACATGGTGATTTTTTATGACATCGTGTCTATCATGTCTTTTACATGGTTTAGTTACATTGCGTATTTCTCGTTAAAAACCCTCTTCGTTACGACCTTTATCTTGACTAAGACAAGGAGAAGTTGAAGAGTGAATAAAGAGATTAATTTAATTTTAACATATACATGAAAATATGGCACATCCTGTCTTGTTACGACCTTTATCTTGACTAAGACAAGAAGATGTTAAAGAGCGAATAAAGAGATTAATTTAATTTCATGATTCTGTCTTGTGGCAGAAGACAAGGAGAAGTTAAAGAGCGAATAAAAAGATTAATTTAATTTTAATATATACATGAAAATATGGCACATCCTGTCTTGTTACGACCTTTATCTTGACTAAGACAAGAAGATGTTAAAGAGCGAATAAAGAGATTGATTTTATTTCATGATTCTGTCTTGTGGCACATCCTGCTTAGTTTGATATATGCTTAGTTACTACTTTTGTAGCCGAAGTCTCTCCTCAGTACTCAGCGGCAAGCTACATGAAACATGAGAGATTTTTTGTGATTTTTTGTTGTGATGTTTTCATTAGAAGAGAGGTTTAGTTTTTTCTATTGAGAGCCGTCTCTATTGTTGTGAATTAGGATCAGTCCTATCTATTATTTTCTACTTGTTAAATGATATGTAAATATTTCTACTTACTCAAATGAAAACTGTTTTATAATACGGGCTTATACCAATCATAAGATGCTACATATATTCATTTTCTATTTCTATTGTACACGATAATAGTTTGTAGATGTTAAGAACCTGTGATTTAAGGAGATTTCTCAGAAAAGTAATTTAGGGAAAGGAGTTGCATGTCTTTTTCAATATAAGAGACTTGACTCTTCTGTGATTACTTTTTTCTTTTGGCAGAAAATGCAGGCCCTCATTAAAACTCTACAACCTTTTAATAGTTGTCTCTCAAAAATTGATGCTCATCTAGCTTTTTCTTGTTCGCAGCGCGGAAAGAGTCGCCGATTAACCAAGCACTTCACTGTCGACAAAGAAAAAAACAAACTAGTTTTATCGTAGTTGATCTCACATGGTAGCTGTCTTCTTTTCTTTTGTTCGTCCGCCGTAGGCTCTGCTCCTCCTTATTTTTGTTTTTTGTTTCTGAACAAGGTAAACCCAATGGGAACCAAAAAACAGGAGGGTACCGTATTGGGCAGAAGACGATCCAAAAAGCGAAGGCTCACCCTTCAAAGTGCCGGGTGAGATAGGCGACTAGTGGATTCGCCTCTTATGCGCTGCTATCGGGCATCATCGGAGCTTCGCTTTTCGTGCATGCATTTGAAAGTGGACTAGATACGAGTACTTTCCTTTCTTTCACTCCCGTCCAACAATTCATTCTTTTTTTTTTCGTGACATTAAGAGGGTAGACTTCATCCGAGACACATGGGTTCTTTTGCTTCAATCGTCTGATCGCCTCTAATCTAAAGAGACACATGGGTTCTTTTGCTTCAATCGTCTGATCGCCTCTAATCTAAAAAGAAGCGCATGGTATAGATTCCAAATTAAGGAGTGAGAAATATGAAAATAAGGGCTTCTGTTCGTAAAATTTGTAAAAAATGTCGATTGATCCGTAGACGTGGACGAATTATGGTGATTTGTTCCAATCCTTGACATATCCCGAAGTACCACCTGCTGCTCCAGTTGCTCTGATGTGCACGCTGACCGGGGTGACGGAGGCCACTCTTTGATGACTCGGTCAAAATCGCAAACTATGCTTCCTCAAGGTTCTTTTCACTCTCGCTATCCTCTTCTGTTGCACAACCTCACCAAGCTTATCTTTCTACTCCCTCCGGTCACCTCTACTTATGCTCTCAAGCATCCAAAGATCCTCTTCCACTTTGAACTATTTGAGCACAGGACAGGCTAATATCTGTTTTTAGTTAGTAATTATTGGCCTCTCTTCATGTAGCCTTGTCCACATTTTGGTAAAATTGACATCCTGGGATGACTGGAATGACTGCAAATGTTTTAGATATTTTTCTTAATCTTGAGAAGATAAGATTTTGAAATTTGACATGAGCCAAATTTGAATTCTAGATTTTATTGTGCAATTATGGAAAAACTTCACTACCACGCATTGATGATTTTTTCTAACGTGTTAAAAAAAAAAACCAACTCACAAAACTCCATGGAAAATTCTGACGTGATGTATCCAATACCTATTTGATGTTGAAGGACGGGTTAATTGTGGATAGACCCCCTGTATTGTCTTTATTTTGAATTAATGTACTGTCCCTCTAGTTTTCTTGCATTTAGAATATACCCCCCGAGTGAATTATTTCTACTCTTTTACTCACAAGGGGTTTATCTCAAAAACCAAATTTCTACTTCTTTATGGAGCCAAACAAATTTCCCTCAGGGGTTCTATCTGCAAGAATAAAGATTAAAGGAGTAGCGAGTTGAAAACAACGATAGTACACGGGAAGTGTTGTAATATTAGTTTTACAAAGTTTGAGTAAAGACTAAAGAGTGTTGGATTTAAATCTAATATATGGGCCAATATATTAAATAAATATGTATTATGTGCTATCAATCAATGTTAGCTCATTAAGGCGATCTATTTTAGGGTTTGGGTTTTTAATGCATAATTAAAGTATGGGTTTTCTATGTTCCAAAATATAATTATTAGTTCTATAATGGATTGAATTGATAATTATGAATAACTAATATCAGTTATAAATAGGATTGTGGCTCCCCAAATCTGTATGTACAATCTCTTTCTGATTTTTCATCGTTAGAAAGATTAGGATTTCTCTAAGGAGAATATACGTACAAAATTTGAAAGATCTACATCTAAAAACTCAAGAATCACATCCTACTCCATGGATTCATGTATTGTTTTGCATCTTCTTAATTATCTCAATAGTTTAACATGAACAGTCTTAGAATTTATTAGGGTTTCATCTCTTAAAGCAAAAATTTGTTCTTTTTATTGATCTAACAATTGGTATCAGAGCGGCGTTCATGTTAATCTATTGAGAGTCAATTTTAATTTATGATGTGATTCTCTTGTATTTTCTCAAATCTAACAGTCCATCATTTTGAATTGTTTAATTTGAGAATAAATTTGGTAGTTCTTCCTCTTATAAATTCTTCATGATTTCGGATTCAAAAGGCTTATCATATTTTGAATTTTATGAATCCAATTTAGAAGAATTCATGTTTGAATAAAAAAATTAGAAGATTTTTGCTACAGTGTTGCTACATTATCAACTGGAAAAAAAATGCTGCGGTGCCCGCCACAGTGCCGGCCAACAAAAGAAAATTTTTCTACAAAGCCCCCGCTACAGTGTCGGCGAGAAAAAGAAATTTTGCTACAGTATTAGATTTTCTTTCGCTGCTGCTACGATGGCCAAATTTTTTAATGCGCTGTCGTTCCAACAGGCCCATTCTCATTAAAAAAGTTCAAGTGGGCCACCCACATTTATCTGGCCCATTCCATAAAAAAGGTCAACAGGCGGGCCAGAAGTGAACTATTGGGCTTAAATATCCTTTTAAGAAATTAGGCCTACCTACAATGTTGGGCTCACTTTCGACTTTTCTATTACTATTATTTTTGTTTTATTTTTTTATTTTATGGCCCATTTGCATATAGTTTGGAGCCAAACTTTAAAAATATAAATATATTGTTTCGAATTTAGTTTTTCTTTATTTATTGAATTCAAATTTTTGATATTAAAATTTATTAAAGTATATGACGTATTAAAAAAAATTGATTAAAACAACATGTTATCAAAGTAGCATCTCTTGTGCAAATCAATTTATTTTAAACATCAACATTCACTGTGTATGGTTCATATAAATATTGATTAGCCCAAAAGAAGATTAATATTTGAATAAATCATATGCATACATGTGGTGATAAATATGGATAATTATTCGGTTTTACATGGAAATAATAAATTGGTCCAAAGAAAGGTTTATTCTTTGACATGTCTTATTGTTAATGTTTGATCATTACACCAAAAGTACTACTTATAAATTAATATTTCTGTCCAAAGACTAAATATTAATGTTATGTTAGGTATCTTGAGATGAGTATTGCGAATTTTGAATTCATAAATTTTGATTTGCTTCTTACTTGAGCTTATTTATTTTCTTATGTTATCAAATTTGGCTGTTTGTATTGTTTCAAACATCATTATCAATATTAATTCTATTCTTATGCTAAATGACGCCAACTTTAAGTCATAATAAGAGTACGTTATGATAGTTCTCGGAGTCATGGATCTCAACCTTGCGTTAAAGCTTCCTTCTTGTACCCCTTACGGATAAAAGTTTTATTAATGAGAAAAGGGACATGGAGAGGTGGGAGAAGTCAAATCGCATGTGTATGATGATCATGAAGACGGTCATCTAGAAGCATTCAGGGGCACGATGTCTGAGAAGATAACTACTATCAAAGAGTTCCTTGAGAACATTGAGAAAACGTTTGCTAAAAATGAAAAGATTGAAACTAGTATACCATTGGCAAATGTTATCTCAATAAGATATGGAACATTAAGGAGTACATCATGGAGATGTCTCACAATGCTTTAAAGCTGAAAGCACTTAAGCTTGAACTCTCTAAGGACTTGCTTGTGCATTTGGTCCTTATATCTCTTTCCATACAATTCACTCAATTCAAAGTGAGCTACAATTGCCAAAAGGAGACTTAGTCTCTTAATGAGCTCATCTCATATTGTGTAAAAGAAAAGGAAAGGATGAAGCAAGAGAAGACAGAAAATGCTCATTTAACTAGTATTTCCAAGGACAAATGAAATAAAAGAATAAAAAATAACGAACCTGCAGAAGCTCAACTATAAAAGAAACAACACAAAGCAAACAATGGAGATGGTTGTTCCTTCTATGGGGCTACGGGACATAAAAAAGAAAAACTACACCAATTATCATGCATGGTGTGCAAAGAAAGGTACACTTTTCAATTTTATTTGTTCTAAGGTTAATTTATTTTCGGTACCTAGACACACGTGGTGGTTAGATTCTGCTGTCATAACTAATATCGGTGTGTCTATGCATATATGTCTAGCTGCCGAAAGCCAAGTGATGGTGAAAGATGCATCTATGTGGGCGATGGCAAGAAGCTTGAAGTTGAGGCACTTTGGACATTTAGGTTATTATTAAAGTCCGGTGGTTATTTGGATTTAAAAGAGACTTATGTAGTACTGCTATTTAGATGGAATTTAATTTCTATTCTTGTATTAGACAAATTTGATTCCTTTTATTCTTTTTAGAAATGACAAATTTAGTCTTTTTTCAGAATTCAAATTTGGTTGGAACCGGTTCTTTATCTTATGCTGATAAATTTTATTTGCTTGATAGAGTTGTTTCATATCATAAAACCTTACAATTAAACACTCAATGTGTAAATAGAATATTGACCAATGAGAATTCTACTTCGTTATGGCACAAGAGATTAGGTCACATCTCCAAAAAGAGAATTGAGAGACTTGTGTCAAACAAGATTCTAAATCTCCTTGACTTTACAAATTTTAAAATTTGTACTAATTGCATAAAGGGAAAACAAACAAATATAAGGAGATTTGGTGCTAACAGGATACAGACACCTTAGAACTGATATTTACAGATATTTGTGGGCCATTCTCTATAGTTTTTTTAAATGGTCAATAATATTTTATCACATTCACGGGCGATTTTTTGCATTATGACTATATTTATCTCACACATGAAAAGTCTCGATCACTGGATATATTAAAAGCTTACAAAGCTGAAGTTGAGAACCAACTCAACAAAAGTATCTAAAGCATTAGATCTGATCATAGTGGTGAGTATTACGGCATGTATGACGGTTCGCTAAATTCATAGAGGAGTGTAGTATCGTCCCACAGTACACAATGCTTGGTTCTCCTACCATGAATGGTGTTGCCGAAAGACGAAATAGAATGCTCAAGGATATAGTAAGATGTATGGTTAGTCACTCCAACTTACCAAAATCTCTCTGGGGAGAAGCATTAAATATTACAGCTTACATATTCAATAGAGTGCCTACTAAAGCGACCATCAAAATCCATTATGAACTTTGGACAGGCAAAAAGCCTAGTCTGAAGCATCTGCATATTTGGGGATGTCCAGCTGAGGCTGGGCCTTATAGGCCACATGGAAAAAATGGACTTTAGGAAGGTCAGCTACTACTTTGTTGGTTCCTCTGAGAGATCCAAGGTTACAAATTTTATGATCCTACTTACAAATCAATGTTTAAGATAGGAAACGCTCAGTTCTTTGAGGATGTTGAGTTTGCGAGAGGTTAAGGACTTTGTCTTTGAAGAGGAATATGTTAATATTCCCATAACTGCTATTGACATTTGGTTGTTGGAAAATTTGTAATAAGAAAACAAGGAAAGAACTGTACTTGATTTTATTCTCTCTAACTGTTTAGAAAAAGAATGATTACAATTCTCTCAACTCTCAATTACAATTGGATTTCCGATTACAAAAGAGAAGAGAATGATCGGGATTCTCTCCTTTATTTAATTCTGGGTTCTTCACGGTAGCGATGGAGTGCCTCCCTCGAATGCTCGCGTCGAGTTTGCTCTCCGTTGACGATCCGACGTTTTAATTCACTGGAACATGATCTTCTCCTCACGATTTCACGTTGTGGAGAACTCTGAACGAGTTTAAAACTCTATGAAAGAGTTGATTTAACCGAAAGTCGGTTATAAGCCAAGGATGAAGAAGATCTTGTTGCTGATCTCCAAAGCTCCAGAAATGCTCTATGGATCCTGTTGACGAGCCAAGAAGTTCCAACCGACCGACCGAAAGATCCCGCCCTGATCTGATTATCAAAAATCTGATCCTTAACTCTGTTGAGTTTGTTGTTATTTATAGGGGATTAAGGGGTGTAACCACCTCCTTAATTCGCTCCTAAGTGGGGCTAATGCGATGTAACCGCCCCTTAAATCACTCCTGAGTGGAGTTATGATCCCCTCAGATTGTGGGAAACGGTTTTGAAACCGTTCAACTCGTGTTTGAACGAGTCAAACGCAGATCCTGCATTCTGGCATGAATTCTGTGTCCA